CCATCACCATCACCACCATTCTCACTACTGTCATCACCACCACCATCACCACCATCACCACCATCATCACCATTACTACCATCACTACTGTCATCACCACCATCACCATCATCACCACCATCACCACCACCATCATCATCACTGTCATCACCACCACCATCATCATCACTGTCATCACCACAATCACTACCATCGTCACCATCACCACCACCATCACCACCATCACCAACATCACTGTCATCACCACCATCATTTCAATAATTAACAGCTGTTGGTGTGATTACTACGCACCAGTAGTGTCACATGCATTTAACCACTGCTATGATGAGATCAGTGTCACTATAACCCTTATTTTACAAAGGAGGAAACTGAGGGTCCCACAAGGTGAACAGCATTCCCACTGTCACATGGCTAGTCATCGGCAAACAAGGAGGTGTCCCCTTTGTGCGGGCACCCATGTCATCTAGGGCTCTCCCATTTTCTCCATAGTCGCTCCCTCAGCTACCGCCTGCCCTCCAGTTACCTGGCCCCTCTCTGGTGGAGAGGAGGCTGTTTCTGGTGGTGGGACAGACAGACTTGTCCTGAGTTTACTCTACTTTACGAGCAGATAAATAACTTTAATCTCAAATAAGATGGAACTTGTTAAACTTTGAAAGGCCAAGACCGGCACTTTGGGGATCCCTGGTGTTTACACTGGGGAGAAAACTCACAATCCAGGCAGGCTACTCACAGGCTGGGTTGTCTAAAGGTCTTGGAGGGAGCCCCGCTACGGGCTCCCACTGAGCTCCCCTTTATCCTGACACCCCAGCTCCTCCTCCATGTAGCGTGGAGGTTCCTGGGAGGTTAAACCCAGCACTGAAAGCAGCGGTAGGTGTCCCTGGTGCCAGGGACCCTGTCCCATTAACACAACTCACAACTGATCTATCCAGTTGCCTAGAGACGCAATGTGCTCTGTTGAAGGGGTGGGCCCCCTACAGAGAAATTACAGTCGGGAGCAGCTAGCTCTGGACGCCTTGGCCCCTCGGTGCTGATGGGCTGAAGGCACAGGGCATAGTGCAGCCAAGGGGGGCAGAGTGACGGGAGGGACACTGGTGGGCGAGGAGGCCTTCACCTTCTCGGACCCCAGGACTCTGCAGATGGCTAATGCGGACCTGCTGCTATTTCCGCTGAGCTCCCATTCTTGTCTGAAGCCAGCGGTGGCGGGGGTGCTAACTGCATTCAGGTAATACTTCCGAAGGTAATTTCACACGCTGCCTCTGTGCTGATGAGGCACTATTAATATGGGGACACTTTTACACCACTGCACTCTGCCAGTTTAGCAACCTGGCTAATTAATAGGGAGAAAAAAAAAAGAGTAAAGGGCTGATTTAAAGAGACATTGCAATGAAAAAAAGTGCAAATGTCTTTGTACAAGGAGAGGGTTTGGGATTCTTTGTATGTCAATGGAGTTAGGGGTATCATCTTGTTGATGCACATGTATGGAACTTTGTATATTTTTCTTATAAATTAGTATGGCGTCATGTAAAAGACACGTGCATAGTGAGAGGTGCATAGGTTTGAAATACGATAGGTTCAAGTTTAAAGCCAGACTGTTCTTACTAAGGAGTCGTCCAGTCCCAAGAACCCCACGTGCCCCATCTGTGAAATGGGGCCAGTGCCCCCAACGCTGCAGGTCATTCTGATTGGAGACCACGGCGTGTGACGCACCCAGTGCTGGCCCCACAGGGGGCACTTTGCACGTGGTTCACAAGTTAATAATCAGGTGTGAGAACTTCCCAGGCTAGAGAAGCATCCTCGAAGTGGACTCTGGGAGCCAGAGTTCTTCAGTCATGAAAATCACGTTACCTTCCTGTGCAAGGACACGGCCGAACTGGAGCCCAGGAGCCTGCTGGGTCCGGGTGGAGGGGTGCTGTCCAGTGCGGGCTTGCCTGGGTGCCTGGGCCCAGCCCAGCGTCAACAGCGCTGGGCCTCACGGGAACCAGGCTTTCTTATCCAGAACGTTCAGTCTCTGCAGGTTTGGAGCAGGGAAGTGACGGGAAAGATGGAAACTCAGTGGTCAGTGTGGTACAGTCACTCGAACTGGGTGATACAGGCAGGTCCTTGGGAGCCCGTGATGAACAATACATGGCCACGCCCCCAGGGGAGGCGGGGAGAAAAGGAAGGTGCACAATCCCCAGGCTGTTGCAGGAAGCAAGGCGTAGGGAAGTACAGACCTAGGCTGGTTAAGTGTCCACGAAGAGGGGAACCAGGAACCCCACAAGAACATAAGACGTTACAGTACACAGGGGTACAATCAACAGCACCCCTGGTTCCACTGCCTCAGTTCAGACCAAGGAGTGTGATAGGGAAGGGTGTTGCCCCACGTGGAAGGGCAGACACGCGGGAGGCGAGCAGCACACATTTCCTCGGACGGACGAGGAGCTTGCCCGGAATGCCCGGAGGCCAGCTGTGGCTGCTCCCTCAGCAGGCGGGGCTCCAGCGGGGAGACTCCGAGTCCAGGCCCTGACAGTGGGCTGCCGCCGCCCCTTCCAGCTCGCCGCTCACAGGTGCCTCCATGAGCCACAGGCTTGCCTGATCAGGTTCCCCGCTCAGGAAGGTCCCAGCAAGGTGGCAGCAATCTAGACGTTTCCGTGTTATCTTTCATATTCAGATCTAGAAATGACCTTTCCCGTGTTGAGTCTTGTGCGAGGTGGGGTCCGGTTTCCTTTTCTTCCCCCAACCAGGCCTGCATTCTGCCTGGGCCCTGGCACCACCACACAGCTCCCATGTGGCCCCAAGGGGGCTCACCGGGGCCCTGCGTGTCCCCAGCCTCAGGTCAGTGATGCCCCGGACAGAGGGTCACCACGTATACCATCAGGAAAGGTGACAAGTTCGGTGTAGTGGACAGCCTGGGTGCATGGGGGGAGTGGCGGGAGCTGTGCCCTCACAACAGGTTGAGGCCCAGACCTTGTCCTCTAGGCAGAGGGCAGAGGGCAGAGGGCAAAGGGGCACACATACTGCGGTGGGGGGAGGGGTTGGGTTAGGGCCCACCTAGAGCAGAAGCCACAGGGTGGAGCGTGTGGGCGTCCCGGGAGAGGGCGAGCATGCGCACAGAGAGGAGGGTGCCAAGCGGCTCACGCGGCCATCGCACTGTGCCGGCCACAGGGAGCGGTCACTCAGCAGAAAGAGGACAGGAACCTGGAGAGGGACTCTTGAGAGAGAATCTGTCCTGGCACACCGTGTGGCTCCTTGCACCTGGCAGGTGCTCCGTACCAGTCTGCTGAGTGATGGAGCCATCAGCAGGGCCAGCTGGAGCTTCTCTCTAACACCAGGGAAACACCAGACTAGGCAGAAGCAGCAAAACGTGGGGACCAGATGTCCCAGAGACAGCAAGTCTCGGCGAAGGTCTGCTACAAGAGCGACAGACGCACTGGTCTGCTGTGTGTCGACTGGGGACGAGGCAGCACTTTCCACCCAAAGTGTCGCGCCGACAGACACACTCACTGCCTGCTGCAGCCCCTGTGGCGGTCACGTGGAGGGCAGGCCCGCAGTGAGCGGGGAAGGAGGGCGTGCCCTCTCAGCGCTGTCACCGGGTTCCTAGTGACATGCCCCGACCACCTGGATGCAGGGGCTCCCGCTGCAAGGCTCCTTGTGGTAGCTAGGAGCACAACGCAGAGACACGACTGGCTGTGCCGGGGACATGGGGACATGATGGGCCATTCTGCTGCTTAAGAAAAAGTTGAAACCCAGGAGAAAAAAGGCCCAGAGGGAGAGTGTCTGGGCATTGGGAACAGGGGCTGGGGGGACAGAAGGCTTCTCCTGCCCTCGGGGGGCTGGCTTGGGGGGCTGCCTCGGGGGCGTTAGCAAGGAGCCTTCTGGAAGCAAGGAATGAGCAGGGGCAGAGTGAGGAGGGGACTCGGGGAGACCCAGGCCCACGGGTCACTGTTGGTATAAACTGAAGGTCGAAGGTTCACCTTGCAGCCGTGGTCCGAACGCCACAGACCTGGTCTCCCATAGTGCTCCTGCCCGTCCTTTTGTTTTTTAAAGGGGTAGGGTCTGAAATTCTGCATTTCTTTCTTTTTTTTTTTAATCCTCACCTGAGTAGCTTTGTTGATTCCTTTTAGAGAGAGAGGAAGGGGGAGAGAGAAACAATGTGAGAGAGAAGATTCCACTGGTTGCCTCCCATATGTGCCCAGACCTGGGATAGCACTCACCCAGACAAGAAATTGAACCCACACCCCAGATATAAGCCCTGACCAGGAATCAAACCCCAACTTGTGGTTGTGGGATGATGCTCCAACCAACTGAGCCATACGGACCAAAGCCACCTTTGCCCCTTTTTAACCTCGAGTAAACCCTCCCTGCCCCTGGATTAAGGTTCAGGCAGGCGCCGCAACATTTAGGTGTGACTCCCCTAGAGGAGGAATACCCGTCACCCGAGGACGGATAAGGTGACACCCAGGACTCTGTGTATCCTTTCTGAGGAGCAGACAGTGTCCTAGTCTGCTTAGGCTGCCTCCACAAAGTCCCGCAGCCTGGGGGACTTAAACAACAAACACGTGTGTCTCGCAGTTCTGGTGGCTGGGAAGTCTGAAGCCAAGGTGTCCGCTAACTGACAGCTCCTGGTGACGGCCTTCTTCCTGACTCGCAGAGGCCACCCTCTAGGTGTCCTCCCGGGGACTGGAGCGGAGGGAGGGAGGGAGGGAGGGAGAGAGAGAGGCAGACTGTGAGTAGGGAGCTGTGGTCTCTTTCCCTCTTCTTCTGAGGACACCAGTCCCAGTATGGGGGCCCACCCTGGTGACCTCATCGAACCCGACTGCCTCCCAAAGTCCCCGCCTCCAAATGCCACCACATTTGGGGTTAGGGCTTCGACACTTGAATTGGGACGGGCATACACGTTCAGTCGGTGACAGCACAGTTTTTGGTTATTTAAGGGACATCTGCATGAGGCTAGTTCTACGATTTACTGAACATTTTCACCAGCCAACACTTTATCTAGACAAATAACGAGTTACGGCACATTTAAGGTACACCATTTATTTCAAACTAGTTTAAGAATATTAGTGTAGAAAGTAGGAGCTAAAACACTGGGGTAGCGACATCGATAAATGACTCTGTGCTTATCCCATAAATGATGTGCGCGCACACTCTGCACTGAGCAGAACGGGCCCAGGGTCACGGTCAGTGCGGCCTGATGTGTCAAATCAACAGAGGCACTTCAGGGTTGTCTTCAAAGTCCGGGTCTTCCTCACTGGGTGTAAGTTCAGGTTCGGGTGGGACTCTTCTGGGCCTGTGTTTCCCCCCTTGAACGATGTTAGCCACATCGGGGAAGGAGTGCTTGCTAGGGTCCACTTCTAGTTTCTCAGTTTGCTTGCTTCTATAACGACAAAAAAAAGGCCAAAGGAAACTGACAGATCATTTACAATTAAATTTCCAACAGCTACAAGTCCCTCATTCATGTATTCCGCAAACACCGGCCAGTGTTCTGTCCCTGGAGCAGAAGAGGCTGCACCTGGTTTTAAGCAGCTTAGCACCTTGCAGGAGCGAGAGCGTTGCCTTGGAGTGACAGCACGGTAAAAAGTGCCGCCGGGCTTGCGAACGCCCACGCAGCTGGGGGAGAGGTCAGCGGGTCAGAGCTCTGCTCACCCAAGTCAAAGCCCACAGCCGGCACCACGGCGGAGTCACCCCAGGCAGGTCTCATTCCTGGGTGTGGCCGGTAAGGCTCAGGGACCCTGCTGCTGCGTCAGACGACCCAGCCCAGGAGCCTGCTCCTGCTGCCCGCACCCAGTCCTCTCAGCAACGCTCAGAGTGGAGCCCACGAGAGAGAAGGCCGCTGGCCAGTGGAGCTGTCGTCATCGTCATAGAATCTCGAGATACTACAGGTCACGGGGCGGCTTTTCTGGAGATTTCGATTCCAAAGGTGGAGAGTTGGGCCTAGTAGTTGGTATTTACATAAAGTTCCCTCAGGGGTTTGGCTGACCAGTTGCATTCTTCTGGAATCACTGCGCCACTCACTCAGTCAATTATTCAATAGACATATATTAAGCGCCTACTGTGTTCTAGACACCAGAAGTCCAATGGTCGCAACAGAGAGGCCAGTTCCCTGCTGACTGATCACACCGCCGTGTAATCGTCCAGTGATCAGTCTGCTTCTCCACTAGACTGACATCTTGGAGGCAGAAACGGTGTCTTTTTCGACTTGTATCTTTGGCATACAGTTTTACTGAATAAAGACGTGGTGAATAAATGTAAAAGATCATGGTTGTCTAACCTCTATGCTGCACACTTGAAACTAATACAAAACAATATTGGATGTAAGCTGTAATTGAAAAATAAACATTTTTCAAAAGAAAAACATCAGTGTCTGGGAAAACGAAATTAAATAAGAAATTATCTGTAATCTAGAGGAAATCACAGTCTGTCTACTGCAGGAGCGCTGACACCCATTTCCCGCAGGGGGCACAGTTTGTTGGGGGAGTTGGGGGCTGGAGGTCGTCTCCCTTGTCTGTGGAAAGTGTGAGTTCTCGATTGTTCTTGACGCCCTTCCCCTCAGTTCTGTCATCTGCTCGGCCCTCGAAGGCATTTGAGGTTTTGATCCCTCTCAGTATGTTGACGAATGCACACAGACCCGCTGTATAAACACAGAGCACACACAGAGCACAGAATAGCCTATTCTGAAGACCCACGCTGTACTCTGCAATGAACTTTGCAGGAAGTGACAGTTTTCAAAGGCCTACATTACAGCCATTACTAAAGTTCTACTTTTTAATTACTATATTCTAATTTGAGAGGCTATGACATCGGTGGATTAAGTAAGTAAATATCCACATCCATCTGCTATAATGATGTTGTCCTTGACTCTGAGGGAGGGCAGCCTATCGTCCGGCCAGCCTGTCTCGGGGGCCGCAGCTTCCGGATCTCGGCAATAAAGAGTGAGCATGGGCAGCTCGCGGTTATCTGCGCCCCCCTACTCGGAGGGGGCGGAGGGGCAACAGGCAAGCAGGACTTGAATGACCCCGAAGCTCTGGGTGATAAACAGCAGGCGGCCAGGCCTGGGGCCTGGGGCGCTGGAGGATGCACTGACCCCCCAAACAAAGAGGGGAGGGCTTTTCTCCCTGCGGCTTCCTGCCTCCGAGTCACAGCCCCGAGGACAGAGACCCATGGAGGTGACCCACTACCTGGCTGCCAGGACCAGGCCTGCTGGAGTCTAGTAAGAGTAACTGGAAGACAAAATGAACATTTTATAAGCAAAAAAGGAAGCAAAAAAAAAAAAAACAGTATTACTAGGCATATAACACATCAAAGATTGATTCCTTGTAGTAAAGAACATAAGAACTTTGTTCCAGTAATACGGCGGGCTGGCATACAGCTATGCCCAGAGACTCCCGTTTCCCACGGAAATGTCCTGGAGACCATTAAGAATCTGACAAGGTAACAAGGAACTACCAGAGGTCAGAATTTAGCGAATGGAGGAACCCAGAGAGGGACACGGGTGCTGATGCCACCTTTGCAGAGGGCATTCCCTGAGCCCCTGAAGCTGTGTTTGGGTCACGCCGACCATATGGGGTCTGGGGACAGAGGTCAAGGTCCTGAGCATGCCAGGTGGGCAGTCTGACAGAGGCCCTCTCCCCAGCTAGGGTGGGCGCCCAAGGACTTCTCTCTCCTGTGAGAGGGAATAGGATGTAGGCCCACGCTGCCCACCTCCCCGCGGGGCTGCGAGGAGAGTGGCCTCAGTGGGACAGGGGGAAGCTGAGCAGTCACCACAAGCTGATGCCTCCCGGAGTTTATGGCAGCTGGTGGTTAAAGACCCTCAGGCTTGAATTTAGATCCGTAGGGTCTGCCCAGAGCACTTGGCTTCCTGGCTGAGTACCTCCCAGGCCTCTGAGAAGCCCCCAAACTATTTTCTAAGCAATGGAGCAGCTCACAGAATAAAGTGATTGTAAAGTTTACGGGGAGGACAAAAGACTCAGACCAGCCAGCACAACACTGGAGAAGAACAAATCTGGAGGACTGATACTCCTCAATTTAAAGACTTGTTACCATGAGGACGGTGAGTGGCATTGGCAAAAGAACAACCAAAAAAAATAGATAAATGAAACAGAATAGAGAGCCCCCATACAGACCTCCATAAGTACAGTCAGCCGATCTTTGGGCAAGGAGCAAAGGCAATAATACCATGGAGCAAGGGCAGTCTCTTCCACAGATGGTCGTGGGACTGCTGGACATCCACGCGCAAAAACAACAGACAAACACAAGAGAACCTAGGCACAGGCCTTACAGCCTTCACAGAAACTAACGCAAAATTGACCACTGACCTACACGTAAAACGCAAAACTACAGAACTCCTGGAAGATAACACAGGAGAAAACCAGAAAACCTGGAAAACCTCAGCACGGTGATGACTTTCAGATGCACACCAAAGGCACGAGCCGTGACAGAAATCGCTGACGAGCTGGACTTCATTAAAATGAAAAACTGAACTGCCGCTCCGTGAAAGATAATTTCGGGAGAATGACAAAACAAGCCACAGGCTGGGAGAAAATATTTGCAAGAGACATCTGATAAGAGACTGCTCCCGGAAACATACGGAGAGCTCATAAAACTCCACAATAAGAAAGCAAACAGCGTGATGGAGAGACAGGCCGAAGGCCTTCCCAGAACCCCCCAGGGTAGATGTGCCGCTGGCGGCAAGCCCGGGAGAGGACGCGCCGCTCCGCACGTCACCAGGGAGATGCAAACTGAAACAAGGACGCGTCACGACACACCCAGGAGAACGGCCCAAACCCTGAACACCGGCCACACCAAACGCCGGCGAGGCCACGGAGCAACAGGAACGCTCACTCACCGCATGCTGGGAAGCACAGTGGCGCGGCCCCTCTGGGAGACAGACTGGCTCTTTCTCCCAAAACTACACGCACGATGAAGCAGCCGCACCCCTCAGCATTCGCCCGAAGGAGCTAGGAACTTACGGCCACGCGATGTTCATAACAGCGTTATTTACAACTGCCCAAAGCCGGAGGCAACCAGGATATCCTCCAGCAGGTAAATGAATGAATACACGGCGGCCCATACAGACGATGGAATATTATTCGGCACTGAAAAATGCATCATCCAATCGTGAGAAGACGTGGAGGAACCTTGAATGCCTATCGCCAAGGGAAACAAATCAATCCGAAAAGCCTACGTACTGTATGATACCAGCCACACAACACTTTGGAGAAGGCAAAACTACGGAGACAGCAAAAAGCTCCCCGGCAACTAGGGGCTGGAGGGAGAGGAGGCTGAGCAGGCGATTGCGGAGGATTTCTAGGCTGGTGCAACTGTGCCGTGGGACAGTGTGACGGCGGGTACACGTCACTGTGCATGTGCCCAGATCCACAGGGTAGACAACACTAAGCCTGATGTTGTCTGACGGACACTAGGACCTCGGGGCGACAACGATGTGTCAGTGTAGGTTCGCGGACTCTGACAAAGGCACCACTCAGGTGGGGGGCACGTTAATGATAAGGGGGCGTCTGCGCATGAGTGGGAAGGTGACAAACCTTTGTGCTCTCCACTCAGTTTTGTGGCAAACCTGAGACCACTCCTCAGAGGAAAGCATATTTTTTAAAAAAAAGACACCACGAAGAGAGGAAGGAGGCAAGCCCGAGAATGCTCCAAGATTTATGATCCTGGTTCCGCCACTCTCTCAGCACCTTTGTGATCTGGGGCGAATCATTCCGTCTCTTCGAACCTCAGTACGGAGGAATAAGGGGATTTAGCCCGCCGTTACTTTGAACGTCGAAGACAAGACAGCGCGGAGCATCCCACAGCGCAGGGCAGGCACGCAGTGCTCAACGAACCCGCGTGCGTGGAAGCTGTGGGTCTTCCTCCATGGTGCAGGACCGCGGACCGCAAGGGCTCGCTGGACCAGTCCCCTGCCCCCAGAGCGCAAGCCCATCCAGTCTGGGTGAGCCAAACCCCGCTGCGTCTGTTCCTCCGTTTCCCCCAGCCCTGCCTCCACAGCACGCGGAGAGGACCGGGCTGGCTGGGGGAGGCCCCAGGGCCCTCCACGGTCCTGGGGTGTCAGAGGCTCTTTGTTCCCTCGAACCACGCGCCAGCCCGCTCGGTCCTGTGCGTGGCCTTTGGGGGCGTCCCTCTGGTTAATGGGCGTGCGTGGCCGGGGGCCGCGGTGACGTGGGTCAGGGAGTCTGCCGTGATTCGGGACCACCTCGCACAGACACACAGGGTGGGCAAAGGCACCGGGGGTTTGCGGGTGTGAGCACACGAAACAGAGTTTTTTCTTGTATTACTGTTTCTTTATCACTGTATTCCTTTCCATACGTACGGCTGTAAACCTACTTTGCCCCTCCCTGCATTATGTAAGCTTGTGAGGTGATCATTTCTTATTAATAAAGATGGAAGAGAAAGGCTCTTCGAAAATAACACAGGAGGCGCTAGTGGGAAGGCTGGTGCTCGGACATCCGTGGGCGCCACGTGTCGTCCCAGCGAGCACGGTTTTCCTGGGGCCTGAGGACCGGCTCCAGGCGGCTGCAGTGACCGGGCTTCCCGCAGGGGGCATGACCCCTCACAAAACAGACCCACAACTTCACGCGCGCGGATGCTGCTGGGGGTCAGTGACGACCGTGACTATTCGCCGCAGCCCTAATGCCCTTGAATCTCTGTGAATCACCCGTGTATCTGAAGTGGAAAATCCCTAAGCTGGGAAATCCGGGTGGACTTCCGAGGTTAAACACAGCTCCCTACTTTTCAGCAGGAGCTCAGTGCCCTACCTGTCCAAACAGACCCCACGGAACTCCGACAGTCGTCTCTGAATACACAAACGCCCAACTGCCTGGACCGCGCGGGACATAAACACAGCTCCCGCTCAGGCATTTTTGTAACGATCATTCTAGCCTGTGCATTTGGACCACAGAGATAGTGTGCGCCGGTGCAAAATAGATGTTGCCATCTGGACGCAAGGGCTGGAAATCCCGACAAGCAGGGGGAAGCTCCAAGAACTGGGACGTTCGCTGTAAAAAAAAAAAAGACTGGGAAATGATGGGAGCTTCGTCCAAAACCCTTTGCAGGGCATCCCTGCTGATGGGGGTGGGCTTTCATCCCGAGGGTCCTCAGGGGGCAGGGCCGGAATCCTCGGTTAGGAGTCGGAGAGCCTTCCTACCTCCAGGAAATACTCAGAAAGGGGTGAATGTTCTCTCGAGAGGGTGAAGGTCCTGGTGGGAAAGACGCCGGAGCAGAGGCTGGCAGACGACCTGTGACTAGCAGGTTGGCCTGGGGGGACACATGATGGGCCCCACGGCACCCGGCAGCCTTGAGACACCTGGAGCCTACGACGTGGCCTGTGGGTCACAGAAGGCCCGCGGTGCGAGCAGCGCTAGCAGCAGGGCTCAGCAGTGGCCCCGACGTGCCGTGGCTACGTGACCTTGAAACGTTCCAAACGCCCCTCTCCCTCTCCCTCTCCCTCTGTAAACTGAGGCTGCAGGTTGTCCCCACGCTGTGCCCGGGGCAAAGCCAGGGCACACCAGAAGCAGCGGCAGCCACTGGTGTGGAGGCCACCGCCCTGACCGTCACGAGAAACCGGGGCCTCTGTGGGCGCGGGTTTGTTTACAGGGATCACGAGCCTCGCAGATCAGACGTCTGCGTTTCGGGGATTAGCATTCATGGTAAGAATCATCTGAAAACTTTAATAAACAACTGTATCCTTCAGGAGGTGCACCTAGCCACGGACGACACTGCAGAGAACACTACAATAAAGCCCGGAGGTGGTACCTCTCCTGCGTCTGCTCTCGGCCGCCGTCCGAGGTACCCTTCCCGGACTTGGGTGCTCGCTGGCCACCGGTGATGACGTCTCCGACCTAAAAGGAGAACACGGCACATGCTCAGTGGTGTGTCACTCTCTGTTATGTCTTTAAAAACATTACATATGCACGTATTTTTGAGATGCTGAAGTATTTTAATTGTCGCTACGTAACCCATGGCAGAGTCTAACTTCAAGCCTCCATGTGGCATGGGAGGTTATATCACGGTATCCGTTCACAACGGTCTTGCAAAGCCACAAGCTACATTGCATTTGCCCGAGGGCACGCGGGAGGATATGGTGGACTAATTCACTTAACAATGAACTTCCTGAGAGCCAGCCACATGCCAGATGCGTTTGGGAGAGATGGGGACACAGAGGCGATGGACACACCACCTTCGAGCGCCTCCCTGTGAGGGTGCCACAGGTGAGAACACTCTGAGTGGGGGGCTTGGGGACCCCCGTCTCCCCAGCCCATTGGATGCTGGTCCCTTCCTCTGCAAAATGAAGGAATGGGAGTGGTCTCAAAAGTCCCTCCTGGGTCTAAAAAATCCTATAATTTTACTATTTCTTTTAAGCTAAGTAAGCTCAGCGCTGAGCGTGTGAGGTCCCAATAAACAAATCGGCTTGATTCGATTCAACACACGCCCAGGAGAGACCCTTCCGGGCAGCGCCTGCCCTCGGGAAGCTCCGAGATGGGAGGGGCCGGGGAGAAACGAGACCGTGCGAGCACCCGCCAGGCCCTGACAGCGGGCTGGGCACAGGCGTCCCACGCCGGCCAGGCACTGCGCGTGCGTCATTCACTTGTGCCCCACTTCCCAGTGTTCCGACGACACAGGGATGACTTGCAGGCAGAGGAGAAAATGGAAAACTTCACGCCTCTTGTTGTCAGCAACGTGGTCTGCTGACCAAGGCCCGGGCTTCTGCCCCTGCTTTTCAAGGGAGAGATCGGAAGTGGGCGTCCACGCCTCTCCCCGCCCACGTCGGCATCTTCTCTTTGGCAAGGAAAGGCTTCACTTACTGGCCGCGTCTCACTTGGTGGTGGGCAGGGTCACTCACTCCTCTGGCAGGGGAGGGGCAGCTCTCCCCCTTCTCTGCTCTGCCTGAGACTTGCATAGCGTGGGTCACATCCGTGCAACTGATGGAGGAGGAGGAAGACCGGGCCTGGACCCTGAAGGCCCCGCCCCCACCCCTGCTCCCATCTGCGGGCCCAGGCAGGGTTGCTGGACCCACCATCTGAGGTTGGGAAGGAAGTTAGGGGCCCCCGTCTGGCCTCCAGTCGAGAGCAGGTTCTCCCATCCAACCTTTCCTAGGCCTCCACACTGGAAATCTGGACTCGTTCACACCTGAGTTTCCCACCTGACTAGCGATTCCCGGCGGTGTGCTCCATGGGTCAGGACCCCCAAAGGCCTAGCCCGTGTTTAGCACACGTGTGTGGTGCGTGCTCTTATGGATAACCACCCCTCGACAGCAATCCTTCCATGAAACAGCACAAGGACCAGTTTGTTTGTTTGAAGCTGGTGCAGTTGTATATTTTTCTATCGTGTTTTTATAAAAATGCAGTCTGTGTGTGACTGTGGTTCATATCCACTCCCTCACACAGAAGAACAAGGACGTGAGTGGGCCCCTCCCTTCCCGTAGGCCCCACAGGCAGAAGGAAAGCTCTGCTCAGACACCACCTTCTCGACGTGCGCCGGAGCGGCCGGCTGGGGGAAACACCTTCAAGCATCACCGATGCTTCGTCGTGCAATGGCCAGACTTTTGCTGAGACTCCAGAAGAAAAACAAAAACTGTGAATATTGCATGTGCCAAAGACATTGAACTTGAAGCCTGGAGGAGTCTGTTCAGAAATGTGTTTAAAAGAGGTGCAGTCTGCAGAACAAGGGCTCGCGGCAGAGCGCCGTGGCAGCAGAGGCCACCTCTGCCGCACCGACGGAAGAACTAACCTCGGTGACTCCCTGAGAGCCTCGCCCAACCCCGCGGGTTCACAGCACCATCGAATGCAGTCCATCTGCGAGGAGGCCGATTCTGAAATGTTTCACTTGTCCTGCTCTAAAACACACTTCATGCCGCAACTGGGCTGCTTTCCACGAATTTCCCGCTGGCCAACGATGTTATAATTTTGGAGGGTGCCGTCGCAAGGTGTGAATGTTTCTGAACTTCAACTGGTGTTCTTCCTTTGCTCTAACGGAACTGGCGTGATCAATACAAATATTCCCCCCACCTCCCTGGCCTAGCCTTCAGGAAACAGAAACGCTTTCCAGTTGCCGCTGATCCCAGCTCTGGTTTACTAAGCCACATTATTGTCCAGTATGAAAGAAAGACGGGGTCGAGGGGATAAAACGGAGCTGCCTCCCGGTTGAGGGCAGCAGGGAGGGGGCAGCAGGGTTGTGAGACTCGGCCCCTTCCTTCCGCAGCATCTGGGGAGGCGGCAGCCCCTGGGAGAGACGGGCTGCTTGGTGCACGGGGAGCACGGCCCCGCAGAACCTTCCGCACTGATGGGAACGCTTTGTGCCACCCAGCATGGCTGCCGAGTGTTTGAAATGCGGCTCGGGCAGCAGAGACACTGACGCTGTCATTTTAGGTAATTCCAGTTTGTATCAACCACACCAGAGAGTTGCGAACATGACCAGGCTGAGCCCAGGCCCCGGTGAGGACTACCCGATTCCCTGTGGGAAAGAAGCGCAGTCACCTGGGCCAGGTACCCCTAATTCATCCTTGACTGCCTGGCCGGTGCCCTTCCGGAACTCTCTGCTCCTTCCTCCACCTGCCGGGGACCCGTAAGTCTGTGTAGGTGTGAGAACCCCGAGCCCCGGTGTTCCAGCCTCTCTGCGCCACGTGGGGTCTGCAGCTGCCCTCCTCGCCCGATGCAGGACAATCTCCGAGGACGGTGCCAGCCCGGAGCTCGTGGAGGCGCTGGCTGAGGCCGGGGCTGGGCCCTCCTCACAGCCAACCCCCGGGGGGTCCTTCCTGTCCTGCCACAGACTAGTTCCTGAGGCCACAACCCACCACACGTCCTACGTGCCTTTCAGGGTCGGCCTCCTGGGGGGAGAGGCCCCTGAGCACCTCGCTTTACTTTTTAATATTTTAATTACATTGCTGAGGACAACAAGGGTGAAAACTCATTAAAATAGCCACTTCGAGAAAAAAGCTCTTGAGCCCGAAATACAAGTGTTGTGTTGTTTCATGTTGCAAACGCACTAACAGGAATAGGAGCACAGGCACAATTAGTCTCCAAACACCCGTTTCCAACACTGCTATTTGTCACTTCGTAAGTTCAGACAAAGATTCTCTGTGTTTGTGGGAATGCAAATAGAGTCACAAATTTGGAACTTTTCTTCACAGAGAATTTGCTGTGCACCAGAATCTAAATGTGTTTCTTATTTTTAAAAGATATTTTCAGCTAGCTCAGTTAGTTTCAAAGGTTCTTCTCAGCTTAGAAGTTAAAAGGGGTGAAGAAGCCAGCAGCACGGAAAACGTGAACAGGGACATTCGCAGGAACAGCGGGTACAACGCTGCTGCTAAGAGGCCCGTTTTCCCGAGCAGAGGACCACAGGTTCGGGGCCCCGAGCCCCTGAAAGCCTGACCTTGGCCTTCCTCCTGGACCTGCAGTCACAGGCCAAGTCCTCCTCTCGGAAGGGATGCTCCTTATCCTCGAGCATCTTATTCACTGTGCTGAGTGTGTCTAGGAGTGACTAATGGAAGAGCTGTAAGGGCCAGAATACGTTTAGTACATCAGATAACGCGGGACTAATGGTTTCCTGAATCCACAGAGAGAAATGTAAGCGACTGCTTGAAAATTCGATTGTGGGGTAGGCATAAAGGTACAAATCACGGTTTTGAGGATGTTAAACGTTATTTTAACTCTCGCGGTGGGGTCCTGCAGGGGACTGGAGAGACCGTGGAGGTGGTCAGGGAGCCCACTCCCCTGCAGGGTGCGGAAGCTGGAAGTCCCTTCCAAGGCCTTCCCTACAAGCACCTGCCCGGCCACGACGGAAGCAGTGGCCTGGGACGGAGCCCGTGACCTGCAAGGCCACACACACGGCACGCAGACCACCTCTATTTCCTTTACCCAGACGCACGCGGTGGCTTCACCAACCGCAGAAGTTACTCATACAAGAAGCCCAGGCTGGGTGAGCCGTGTAAACAGACAGTGAACAGATGCAAGGGAGAGAGACGTGACTTTCAATGCGTATATTTAGGTTGAACCAGAGAGATGACCAGTATCTGCCTATTTCTGACCCACGGAGCAGTGACTTCAACTTAAAAGTTATTTATGTCACATTAAATGAGAGTGGGCAAACGCCACTCCGTTTCAGATAAAGACTTGCTAGTGGTAAACTGAACGAGTGAACGGACGAAGAAAACGTCCACAATCGGAGGTGTTGAGAAAGAAATAATCCTATCTGTTGAGAAAGAAAATACAAAACAATCGACCTTTTAACTTTTTTCCTGCAAATTCATCCTGGCTTCTTAAACACCCGCATTCATGAAAATCAGAAGTAAACTTCTCTTTCTCTTTGCATCATAGTTGCAACTATTACTTCCATGGATTCTGCTCAGAGAAATATTTACTGAGCGTCTATTCTGTCCAAGCATAGGAATAAGTGGTAGACATGGAATGACAGGTTAAGAAATTATCCCTGATTTTCTCATGCGTGATAGAGGCACATAAGCAATTACTATACACCGATGACGGTGCGGTTGATAGATAAGCGCAGAGACTACGAGGGAAGCCCAGGGGAGGGACGCATCCTGGGGGACATGGGGGACAGGGGCCCTAGAAGGCTCACTGCAGGGCGCAAGGTTGGATATGCGCTGGATACAAAGAATGGGTGAGAACTGTCAGAAGACAGAAGTCGTGCAGGGGATAGAGAACCTTCCAGGGAGAGGAAAAAGCAGGAACGAAGACAGGAAGGCAAAGAACCACATAAAGTAGCACAAGAGAGCAGGCAGCTAACAGCTGGAAGTGAGGCTGAAGAGCTGGGCCGAGGTCAGATCTTGGGAGCCTTCACTTTAAGGGACTCGGACTTTGCCCGAGAGCGATGGGATCCTTCG